TTGTTCAACTCTACTCCGATTCAGACAGAACTGCGGTAGTGGGAGGATTTCTACAAAGGAAATGAGCAATAGCAGAGGCTGATGAAATGCTGCAGCTACGTTGCTTTTATTTGGGGTAGCCTGCAAATGACTATGACATAGGCCTCTTATGGATCCTAAAATAAGATCGCAGTGGAACATAAGCCTCTGGAATGTCTATGCTTGTGGCATGTGACAAGAAATCCTGTCTAGTCCATCTGTGGGTAATGCAGAAAGGGTGGTATGTAATGGCTGAAGTGCAGCATGAATGTGTTGCTTTTCTCTGGGAGGTGTCTGCAGAGAAAGAATGAGACTGTTGTTCAGAGTATTTATTTTTGGTGGCTGTTAAAACCGTTTTGTGGAACAACTTGGTGATGATATATGAATAGGTAGATATAATGCTTTTTGGCATATTATTAGATCATTGAAACAGTTTGGATTAATGAAGAAATTTTAAAAAGTTCTCTACACTTTTGTATTTTAAGTGATCTTGTGCTTCAGCAATTCTGCCAGTGGTCAGCTACCTCTACAAAGGGAAATTGTTGCCTACGTCTACTAATTAATATTGTGCAAGTACTTCTAACTAAGTATGTCTGGAGTTTGGAAGAACTTACATTCAGTCTTGTCGAGGCTAACAAAAAGGCTATTTCTCACATTACAAATAGAAGGAATTGAAGATACCAAAATTGTTTGCAGATATAATTGGGATCTGATGGAGTTTCTTTGCTGGAAGAAGGCTGGAGGCAATTTTTGCCAATTCCCCTTCCTCTGCCTCCTATGCTGTTTGAAAGGACCCCCCAACCCTCTTGACCAACTTTTCAAAGAACACAGTGGGGCTTCAGGAGGAAGGAGCAATAATAAAAAACACCTCCCTGTTCTATTCCTCCAGCACAAGCAGAAGGCCACAAATCTGGACCCAACCATTTACTCACCAAGGACCTGGGTTGGTTGCATTTCCATTCGAAGCATGTGTTCAGTCTTAAACATGAGTTTGCAGCTACATGATATTGCAAAGTAATTCTATGAAGGCTGATGACTGCGCTGGGTGGGACCAGCTGGATCAGTGGAGAGAGTGGAGCATGGCTTGTTTTAATATCTACGGCAAAAGAAGTAAAACATAACCTGCCAAAAATTTAGTTCTTCCCATGCCCTATAGTGTTTTCTGTCAGCACATAAAAATATGGAATTGCATAGCTGCCAGTATACAGCCTCCGGGCTCTGTCAAGATGTATGCAAGTGCACGGAAGATATTTTGCTTTCCCTAGTAGCAGCTCTTCATGCAACTTTGGGAACTTTGTTTATATAATGTCTATTAGCAACTTAAATACATTTGCACGTACCTTTCTCTATCATTGTATGATGCATGTGATTGTCCTGGAATAATCTTGGCATTGGCTGAGGTGTGACAGACAACTGAGGTGTCAATTGTCATGGAATGGCTGTGGAGCTCATTTCATGATAGCATGAAGAAAGTGTTGTTCAGATATGTCCTGAAAATGGTAACAAGCAAAAGACAGGCATGTGTAGTGGATTAGATGTATCTGTGTAGAAACCCTGGCCAACTCTCAGTGCCAAGCAAATTAGTGCTATTGTGATATAACCATTACTTCAGTTTGGAGAATTTCCTCATGAGCGCACTCACTTTGAAGAACAAATTATTCCCTCTTAGACACACTGCATTCTGCTTTTCAACTTACATAACATTCTTGCTTTTATCCTAAACAACATGGCTCAGGTTTCACATGCCAAAATTGTGTGTGGTGTGTTTGTGTGTAATATAATTCTAATTGTGGCTTGAGATTTCAGAGTGCCTGTAAGTAAACGGCATGTCACTGTGATGAATCTGTTTTCAGTGTTGCTCTGTTATCCTCTGCAAACTGGTTTTATGCTATATTGCTGGTTTTCGCCTCCTCCTTTTGGCTTATCATTTGCACTCTATTTAAGGCTATCATCATATTACAGTTGCCAGAGAATGAAGTAACTATTAATGACCCTATGACGACTGTCTGTTGAGTCTGATTAGTGCTTCTGAGTAAAGTACTGATGTGTAAATAGCCTGAAAGAGAAAAACAGTTTGGTTTTGTTTCCAGGGTTTTAATTGGGAACTACATAATTATTGGAAGATGGGAGGCTAGATACCAACTTCCCAAAGCACCATATGAGTGATATTCCCATTGAATTAACATGAATTTCTCTAAGATCAGTGCTTTAAAGATTGAACATTGTTGTACTCACACTTCTGAGTTGGATATTTAGAGCAGAGGTAGCTAGTGGTGCCCATCAGAAAATGCAGCTCTCATCATCCCTAATTACTGGCCATGCTGGATGTGGTTGATAGCAGTAGGAGTGTAACACCTGGAGAGTAGCACATTGGCTCATCTGATGTCAAGTATTGCTGCATATTTTTATTTATTAAAATTAGTTTTGTGTTTGCTGTTTCATTACCTTTTTCATCAAACTCAATCAGTATAAAAAGATTTGGTTTAAAGGAGGATTCTGTCATAAATAGATTCTATTTTATTACTTTTTGGGGTGGATTTTCATTGTTGGCTATCATGGACTGCCCACAAACAGAAATGTTAGTGCAATGAAACGCATCCTGGTAACATTCCCTGTAAAGGACTCAGGGACTGCCATGTTGCTGTATTTGCATATCGGAAATAAACTCACTGTAGGTCAATTTGGCTAGTAACCCCTATGCATTTTACCCCTAGTTTGTCTCTTGGCTTGGCTTATTTAGTCACTTGGTGTAAATACTTTAGTCAGAGTTCTTTCCTCGGCTGACAACATTATGCATGCTGTCTGATACCAGTATACTATATGGAATAAACTGGTTGATAGATCATTGATGACGATGGAGGCACATGTATAATATGCCTTTTGAGCATGATGTCTGATTCCTTTTTATGTGTGCAAGCAGTTTTTCAGGGCTTCTCAGTTTTCTCCCCCATACTATAGCTCCCTAACACTTCATCAGAATCTGTTTGCCCAGATTTTTAGGTGGCATGGGGGAAGAGGAGCTTGGAGACATGGGTGTGTCTACAGAGGTCCCTCTATGGTACTATGGTACTACCTTCATGTCTGGAAGCTGTATGTCTCTGTATACCAGTTGCTAGGAATCACAAGTGAGGAGAGTGTTGTACTCATGTCTTGCTTGTGGGCTTCCCATAGGTATCATTGGCCACCTTGAAAACAGGATGTTGGACTCAGTAGGTATTTGTGTGTATATACGTACACACACAGAGAGAGAGAGAGAGGGAGAGAGAGAGATAAAGGTACCAAATTTCTTTCAAAATGTGGCTCTCTTTCATTCATTCCTTTAAATGCAATCCCTGTATTTCTTCAACTGACAGAACTGCATGCATTTGTAATATAAATGCTTTTGAGGCTCTGTGTCCTTGTCAAAAACCTACTTAATTTCTGCCTTGAACTAGACATACTTAATTCCAAATCTTTAATAGGCAAAAAAGAATAATACAGAAGTCAGACTGACACGAACACTTAGTGGTTTGTTGTGGTGCTAGACCTCAAGTTTGCAGAGGAACCTTTTCTTCTGAATGGGAGTTCCCTTTAACCCTAGGCATATTGGTATACCGTGTCTTACAGTGAATAGTCTGTGGTGAAGGAAAATAACTCTGTAGTGGCTCAGAAGCACTGTGACCTAATGATATGTTTGAAACTGATCCTTGGTGAACAATTTCTTCAAATTAAGTTCTGTTAGTTTTAACCAATGCTAATGAGGTGCTGGTAGTCATATATTGATAAAAGTGCATAAAATGACATCCATGGCAGCAAAAAAAAAAAGAGGTGCCAGTACAATACTCTGTACCAGTGAGTACACACACACACACACACACACAGAGAGAGAGAGAGAGAGAGGGAGAGAGGGAGAGATAGAGATAGAGAGAGAGATCATGGCCATAACTGTGGCAGTGACATGGTTGCTATACTTGGTAAACTTGTCCAATGCACAGAAAAGGCACACCACATATATACTGTTATGTGCCACTTATCAGTATGTGCTTATATAAATCTTAGTTAGTTACCCTTAATTTTATATTATTGGTAGCCATGGAGTCTGCTTGTTTCATGTAAATATGACACACAGACCTGGAATCAAAGCACTGCTCAAGATGTTTCTGAGTCCCAACCATCTAACTGTGGTTCTGTTGCCTAACAAACTTTTGGACCCCAGCCATAGTTGCTGCAATATAATCCACATTGGTTTTGAACAACCAAAGGGCAAACGCTGCAGCAATGTTTTTCTTATTGTGCGTTTGCTGAGAGACAGCAAACGAATCTGAAGGGAAACTTACAACTCACACTAGCATTTTTATTTTTAAAAATTGCCCTAAACATTTTTTTGTTTGAGTTGGCCAGTGGGTGAATTGGCCAATAGTTATAGCTTATTCTACCTCTTTTGTACTTCTGATTTTTAAAGAGATAAAAAATTGGACATTGTACACCCAAGTTTATGACCTGCTCTATGCACAATTGCTTTTAGAGATTAGAGAGAGACAGCACTAACGCTGTCTATCAGGTTTATTTTTACCAGGTTTTCAAGGCAAAGCATATTGTAAACCCCTCCTCTGGCAACATTTACAGCACTAGCCAGTATGCTAGTGTGTCGATAAACTGTTCTTTAAAATAAGTGATGATACATCTAAACCTGTCACTTGGTTAATTTTGCAATGGGCTCTTCACATGGCCATTCCTAATAGGCCTCCATAATATTTTAACTGCTTGTCATTTAGAGGACTTTTTGTAATTGTTCTAATGAATGAATCAACCCAACACAGAACAATAATTCTCTGTATTTAGAAACCCACAGGTTGGTACATATAGAGTAAAAGTGATTAAAAAACCCGAAAACAAACCCTGGCCCCACCACCATCACACTTGTTTCTCAGACACTTGAATTAAGGGTGAAGCCTGCAAGAATGTTGCTGTTTAGTAGGAATTGTACGTATAGGTGCTCAACATTGTGTGTGTGTGTGTGCATACACACACACACACACACACACACACACACACACAGTGTATTTTAGCATGCAACTAATTAAAATGAATAAATCCTGGCCCGCGTTACAAACTGCTACACAAAATTAATTTATATATCCATAAAATAGCATGCACATGTGCTGCAGTTCTGTGTAAGCTGTGTAAAGTAGTGGTTCAGAGTATAGGGTATAATTGGGTAAATTCCCAGTTCAGATATTTTGTTTGCCACATGTATGTAAGGCAACTATTATATTCTTACATTTTCTTCTTGTTAAGAGGAATGTTTTGCTACAGCATAGAACACTTTCCATTTTCTTGGACTGAAGTTTTAAACAAGAAAATATAGAGATATTTGCTTTCATCTAGCCTCATTACTGAAACTATTTATCAGTAAATAGAGAAGAAAGCATTACACCAAGTGGTGAAAATTCAGTTTTCACTACTAAATAAGTATTAGCGGCTGCCTCCATCCAATTCGAGATTATTGTAGTAAATCTGCAGACTGTTAAAATAAAACTTCAGGTCTTAGTTGTGAAGGAGTATAGTCATCCAAATGGTAATTCAAGAGTTAGACTTTGTCACTTTTGCCACCCATTTACCCCATAGCCTTGATGACAGTATAGGTAAGAATGGTCTGCACAGTCATTGTAATCTTTTGAAATCTGTACAGCAGTGTCTCCCTCTCCATCAGAGTTGCTAGACTATAGAGCAGCTATAGAAATCCTAGTCATGGGAATATTGATAAAAGCTCATGCTTGCCTCAAGCATGAAGCTACAACAAAGGATGTCCACTGGCTGAGTTTCATGTTGCTCTTGAGGCATTTTTTGCAAGTTTCTTTAATGTGACATTTTGTCGAGGCCATCTATTAAATTCGTATAGTGGTTGCAGTTCATGAACTGCTTATTCTTGAGTAATCATACTGATTTCAGGGAGATAACTGCTCCATAGTAAATGTTTAGATATCTGCAGTTATTGATTGTTAAATAACCAGCTGGCCATATCATTTGTTTGGTATTGATCTGGGAATGTTTAAACTAATGAATTGGAGATTTAACAGGCTCTTTCTGTGCCATTTGAACATCTTTATAACCATGTTCTTTACAATAATATTTTCAAATTACTATGATTTATAGGAATGCAATATTTTAAGTATTTGTATCTATGTATTACTTCATTCTTTCATAAGAATATCAGAAGAGCTTTCTGTATCAGACCAAAGGCCTATCTAGTCCAGAAGTCTATGGGAAGTCTGTAGGATTTTTTGCACCCCTTATTTCTCGCTTGCATTTCTTTTGCCAACATTTGTGTTCCTTTTGTTCTCCTCGTTTGGACAAGGATTACATTTTCTGCAGGAAGCCTTCTTTAATAGCTTCTTTGACCTTGCTTGCTCTCATCCTCTACATTTAACTGCTCACCTATTTTAGCTATGTAGATGGAAATCCTGCTGCGTATTTATGACTTGTGCCTTTTTGAAAACAAACCAGGAAAGGGGCTTTTTACACACTATTGGAAACAGACCGGAGTTTGCCCTATGTTTGCACTCAGCAATGAACTGCAGTAGTGCCGTAGAACATATATGCACAATAAAAAGTGTAGGGAGCGGTGTTGGTCCATAATAAAAGGAATCTCTAAAAATTACAGTTGTTATATCTTGCCTGATGAACAATTCTGGAGAACTCAGAAGCTTACCCCACTTCTGAGACATCTTGGTTGGTCCTAATATATTGCCCTTTGGAATATATCCCCAATGTTAGTTTTGTGGATCACATGTGTGCAGATATCTGTAGTAATGACAGAATAAAACATTGTCTGCATTTATTATGGGTTGGAGCTAAGACCCCACCCTTTAGCTTGTCCTTGTAGTTACTTTCATTTTTCTATGCAGTTGTATGTTAACGTGTTGTGCAACAAGCAGCCTCTTCTTGTTCTGGGCCTACAAATGAGTAGCCCTGTCTTATGTATTAAATAAGAACTTAACAGAAAAATGGCAGCAATATGTGGGAAGACCAGACCGCTATTTCCTTGCTAATTAAATCACCGAGGGTGACAAACAAAAGGCATTATTTCTCAGTGTTTGTGGCAGTAAAACTTACTCCCTTTTAAAGAAGTTTGTGGCAACAGCAAATTAAATAAGAATGTAACAATACTGAGTACCCACTCTCCATGTGCACAGTTTTCTCTGTGCTGATATGTGCAGCTGATGGAAGCAATGTAGGCCAGCACTTGGCCATATTGACTCCAAAGCTGGCTTCCCATCATGGGTATGTGTGTTTCACGGAAAATATTTTCAACAGGTATTTCTCATACAACGTGTGTGTGTGTGTGTTTTATTATGCAATCTTCTGTACAGTAGTACCTCTAGTTATGAACTTGATTTGTTCCAGAGGTCTGTTCTTAACCTGAAACCGTTCTTAACCTGAGGTACCACTTTAACTAATGGGGCCTCCCGCTGCTGCCATGCCGCCGCTGTGCGATGTCTGTTCTCATCCTGGGGCAAAGTTCTTAACCCGAGGTACTACATCTGGGTTAGTGGAGTCTGTAACCCAAAGTGTTTGTAACCCGAGGTACCACTGTACTATGAAAGGCGGGGTCATCAACATGGCACGCATGGGTGTAGTGGCATCCCTGAGATCTTCTCCTAGTGACCATGAAGCTCCTGGGCCCTCCTCACTGCCCTCTTCATCATGAGGTAGAAAGGGTGATTACCCTTTTCTCTATTAAGAAAACATGGGGCTGAAGGAAGAATGCTCTTTTCCACCCCCTCTTTTGATTCTTTGTACTTTTAATTCTCAAATTAATTTTGCTGAAGCCAACTTTTATCCAACTCCCTTGGAGAATTGAAGTGGGAATATGTGTTCACTTTCACTCTTCCTTTCTGGAAGGTGATCCAGGGGTTGGAAGATTGAAGTGGCCAGAAGCGGGTGGCACCTGTGACACTTGCTTAACCATCCAAATATGCCCTTGGACTCGAGTCTTCCACTTTAGCCATTTACCTCTGATGTCTTGATTATAATATTGTTTGCTTTTGGTCATAAGTATCTAGTGTTTAGCTTTTACATTGTTTGAAGGTGTGTTTGCGTTAGATTTTCAGATAACAGGCTCTTTTATAGTGTCAGCTCTTTCTCTACCACTAAGTAATAAAATGCCCAATATAAATTTGCAACCTTTGTTATCCAGTTGCTATTGTTTATAGCTTCATGTACTTTGTGTAGATTATAAAACATACCATTGCAAGTGTGGCATTCTCTTAAAAAGAAGTGCAGAAACAAGGGAGAAACCTGCCTGACAAACAAAAGTTGGAGGAAGATCTAGCGATAAAAGTAAAGTCTCTTTTTGTGCTTTTTAAATATTTGTCTGGTCTTCTAAAGATATTTGCCTTTGCTGTTTGCTTTGGATTTAATTTGTGGGCTTAAGTGCAAAAGAGAAAATGATACAGTAAGAATGGGAGCCATGGGAGAGAGGCAAAAGAGCAGCACTCTTAGAGTTCACTTTAAAAGTGATATTTTTTATAAAGAGGAAGTGATGCTTCATGATATATAGTAGCTGCAGAACACTGTAAATTATAAACGCTGTAATGTAAAAGGGAATGTTATCAGCAAATGGACAGATAGTAATGAGAGCTGATGACCAATGCCCAGAGGTGACTGAGATGGAGAAGTGATGTGTAGCAAGGACTGGCGTGTTTTTCATAAAATCATAGAATCTTAGAGTTGGAAGGGACCCCAAGGGTCATCTAGCCCAACCCCCTGCAATGCAGGGATCTCAGCTAAAGCATCCATGACAGATGGCCATCCAACCTCTGTTTAAAGACCTCCAAGGAAGGAGAGTCCACCACCTCTCATAGGAATCTGTTCCACTTCTGAATAGCTCTTACTGTCAGAAAGTTTTTCCGAATGTTTAGTTGGAATCTCCTTTCTTGCAACTTGAAGCCATTGGTTCAGGTCCTGCCCTCCAGAGCAGGAGAAAACATACATGCTCCCTCCTCCATGTGACAGTCCTTAAGATATTTGAAGATGGCTATCATATCGCCTCTCAGTCCCCTTTTTTCCAGGCTAAACATACCCAGCTCCTTCAAGCACTCCTCATAAGGCTTAGTTTCCAGACCCTTGATCATCTTGCTTGTCAACATCCTTCTTAAATTGTGGTGCCCAGAACTGGACACAGTATTCCAAGTGTGGACTGACCAAGGCAGAATAGAGTGGTACTATTAGTTCCCTTGATCTGGACACTATACATCTGTTGATGCAGCCTAGAGTAGCATTAGCCTTTTTGCTGCTGCTTCACACTGTTGAGCTTGTGGTCCACTAACACTCCTAGATCCTTTTCACATGTACTGCCAGTAAGCCAAGTGTCTCCCTTCCTATATTTGTGGTGGAGGAGGAGGAGGAGGAGGAGGAGGAGGAGTTCAAATATATGAAAAAAATGTGCCCTGTTTGAAATCCAAACAGGACAGGGGACCTTTTTCTCCCCAAAAAAGGATGAGCATGTTTTTCTAGGGATGGGTGGCAACCCTACATAGGCTCTTTACTTGAACAACAGTAAAATATTGAGTACAGGTATGATGCTGATGCTGATGATAATTTATGTGTACATGGAACACATGGGACAAGAGTAATGTGCAAAATATGTCTCCCATATTCTGATGCATTAAACTGAATTAGGGGGTATTTGGATGTGGTAGTAACCAATTTTCCCCATTTCCTTTTTTAGGGACACGTGGAGTGCCACTTACTCACATACCTACAAAATCTAAGAAAACCCCCACACCTTGGCCTTATATGGGAGTATATTTTAAAGATGCTATTTGGGTACATTTAAATCTATTAGAAGTTTTCCATTCATTTAGGGATTATATGCTTGCTTCTGTGCTATGATATTCCTTATCACAGCTAAGCATTAAGATACGCCTCTATTGAAATAGCAGGGGGTTGGCCTTCAGTTTTGTTGAGTTCAGTGGCTTTACATCACTTTAAGGCTAGTTGGTGTTTGACAGTCAATTGGGGGGGGGGTCAAGCCCTTTTTTAAGAAATATGTTCTGTATCTTTAATCTCTAGATAAATAAAATTGTACTGCTGAGGTTGCATGCTTGAATTACAGAAGTCTTACACCATGCAGCAAATACAAAGAACTGCCTA